ACATACATATATATATATATATATATATACGACTAAATACTACCATAGGGGAAAACGATAACAATGGAAAGGGTTAGAAATAATACCTTAAGGCGAAAATACTGCCTCTAAGGGGAAATTTTAACGACGTTAAGGAGAAATATAGACAAAGGATTTTTCACCCTATGAGTTAGTTAGGAGTATGTATATATACTTACTTTAAATCTTCGTCCATTCTATCACCCATTATAATTTTTGTTGGTATTTAATAAAGACACAATGCGTATACATACATATACACACGTCTTATTCTTTTTTAATTATATGTTATTACATGTTAATAACTATTAAAAAGAAACTGATAAAACCTAAATTACAAGACGATGTATGTAAAAACATACTAAACTTCAATATTAAATGTGATAAATCTCCAACGCTAAGGACGCAGACGCTTGTCGTGCATTTTCTGATATATTGGCATGGCTGCGTCAACGCACTTTAGAACAAATTCATTCAGCTCGGAACGTTGTGGCAGTGGCTCTGGCTTCTTAAAACAGGTGCTGTCGAAGGCATTCTGATAAACCCCCATTACTTTGTTACCTTGTAGCTGTAACTTCGATGCAGCCCAGTCCTTAACAACACCATCACCCGCCTCCCAAGAGAGTAGCTTTTCAGTGTACTTGATGCCCAGAGTCTGGCAGAACTTTCGAAGGATGCTTTCTGGATCAGACTGAAAATCGTCTGAATCAATTATAATCGGTTCTCGTTCAATTCCACTTGATATCAAATGCTCGTATAGTTGAAAGTGGTCTCCGTACGCATAGGCTTTGGATCCCGACATCTCTAAAACATCGTCTATACGCTGAGATTCCGCTGACATACCAAGGCTTGAGAACATCTTATTGCACGATTTATATAGCTTTAGAGGATGAGTACGTATCATAAACGTGTGACGATATCCACTTGGAATGAGGTCATAGTTGGCTGCTACTGGTTGAGACATGTCTTTACAGAACACAACGTCTTTACCGGGATAATCCCCTTCCAGTAATGATTCCTTAACCCACTTGAAAGTATACAAGTTGTGGTCAAGTCCCATATCTAGACTGATATTCGATGCAGAATCCATGACTTCATCAAGTGACTCTCCTGTGTCTTTTGGCATTGCCATGGTACGTTCTGGTCCAACTGTTATGGCGCACGTGTATGGTTCTGAGATGATTTTTACGTTGTCTAAATGGCTCATGCATTTTATGAATGCCGTGGAAAGAGTTCTTGATCCACAGCATCACTTTTTGTCAGCTGAAACTAAAAATATAATATAAAATAAAATATATTAACAGATATTACATAGGCCCCTATGCCTATATCAAAATTGATGATTTAATTTTTGTACTTTGAATATTTGAGAATAATTTATACTGTTAATAATATAGTATCGGTGGTTTTATTTACTCGGTCGAGGTATTAAGCTAAAAAGACCATTAAAATGACATGGACGACAAGCGTCCTTAGCGTTGGAGATTTATCACATTTAATATTGACCATTAAAATGATATAGAGCTTCGTGCGCTTGGTGATTAGGGCTTTTGTCTGTTTAAACCCAATTTGCAGTTGAGAAATACAGGTTTTGAGGTGGCTCATGAAAATGCTAGAAACTGTCTTGTAG